GAAAAACATGGCATCAGGATTGGAGGAAGACTCATTAACAACCTGCGATATGCAGATGATACAACCTTGCTTGCTGAAAGTGAAGAGGACTTAAAGTATTTACTGATGAAGATCAAAGACCACAACCTTAAGTATGGATTGCATCTCAGTATAATGAAAACAAAAATCCTCACCACTGGCCCATTAAACAACATTCTTATCAACAGAGAAATGATTGAAGTTGTCAAAGACTTCATTCTTCTTGGATCAACCATTAACACTCATGGAAGCAGCTGTCAAGAAATAAAATGACATATTGCATTAGTCAAATCTGCTGCACAAGACCATTTTAAAGTGTTGAAGAGCAAAAATGTCAGCTTGAGGACTAAGGTGCGCCTGACCCAAGCCATGGTATTTTCAATAATAGTGTATGCATATGAAAGCTGGAAAGTGAATAAGGAAGACCGTAGAAGAATTGACGCATCTGAAAATACTAAAAGTGCCATTGGCTGCCAAAGAAACAAATATCTGTGTTGGAAGAAATGCAGCCAGAGTGCTCCTTGGAGGCCAGGATGGCCAAACTTCATCTCTCATACTTCGGATATATTGTCAGGAAGGACCAGTAACTGGAGAAGGATATCATATTTCATAAGGTGGAGGGTCAGAGAAAAGGAGGAAAACCCCCAGTGAGATGGATTGGCAAAGTGGCAGCATCAGTGGGCTCAAGTGTGACAACAATTATGAGGTTGGCCCAGGACTGGGCAGTGGTTCGGTCTGTGGTGCATAGGGTTGCTATGAGTCAGTACCAATTCAATGGTACCTAACAACAACAACATACTGCACTCAGTGACATAGCCATAATTCAACTTAACTCAGGAACCTGAAAGCATATTCAGTGAACTACTCTAATCTAAATGTTCCCTGGCAGAAAGTAACAAGGAGTAGTGTCAAAGCATTAGCCTGTGTGCCAGAAAATTCCGATAGGAGAGAAGACTCAACAGACACTGTGTGACAGAAGCATATCTGGACCTCATCAGCCTCAACCTTGTCACCATTAAAGTAAGGCCGTTGAACTGGACTATCTCTCTAAGAGGACTGTAAGCATTCAAGTTTCCTGATTCTGTGATTCAAAGGCTACGTAGTGCAGGTCCATCTCAGCCTCGTAAATGAGGTTACTTGAAGTCCTGGTGTGGCACTGTAGGATAAGCACAGGACTGCAAGGTTTGTTTGTACTCCAAGGTCGGCGGTTCAAACTTGCCAGCTGCTCCTTGGAAACCCTATACAGGGTTGCTCTGAGTCAGAACTGACACAAGGGCCCTTAGCAACAACATTCCTATCTCCAGGGTGCTCTAAGAATGAATTGAGACAGTAGGGGGTTTGTATAAAGTGTTAACCCAATGCTGTCCAGTAGATTCCGACACATGGCCACCCCATATGTTATAGAGTAGAACTGCTTCATTGGGTTTTCTGGGGTGTAATCTTTACAGAAGGAGATTGCCAGGCGTTTCCTTCATAGGGGGCTTAAAGTGCAACTCTTTATGTCCTTTCATTGTTGTTGTTGTTAAGTGCTGTCAAGTCGGGGTTCTGATTCACAGCAATCCTGGTTTCCGAGGAGCAGCTGGTGAATTTGAACTACTGACCTTGCAGTTCAAACTGACCTTGCAGTTCAGTGCATAACCCACAGCGCCATACCATGATTTGGGCACAAACCATTTATGCCACCCACCTATTCAAATATAAAGGATTGTTATTCGTATGTTATTGGTGATCACTGTGGTTGTTAGGTGGCATTTCCAACTCATAACGACCTTATATACAACAGAATGAAACACTCCCCAAACTTGTACCAGTCTCACAATCGTTGCCATGTTTGAACCCATTGTTGCAGTCACTATATCAATCCATCTAGTTGAGAAGCGTCCTCTTTTTTTGCTGACCCTCTACCAAGCATGATGCCCTTGTCCAGGGCCTGGTGCCTCTTGATAGTGTGTCCAAAATATATAAAAAGAAGTTCTTCCATACTTGATTTCAAGGAGCATTATGGCTAAACTTCTTCCAAGACAGATTTGTACATTATAAAAGAGAAGAAACATAGAAACATACAGACACAAAAGTGATGGAGAAAGAGATGGATAAGGACAGATTCACCTGATGAGACTTACCACTCTGGAACTTGGTCAGGAGCTTTTAATTGGCTGATAATGAACTGTCCTTCACAAAGATATGTGATTGCAGATAAAATGAACATATATGAGGCATTTCAGCTTCTAAATATCATAGCACATTAAGATATTTATCAAACACACCTAGACCCTAAATGCAGCAGATGCGTATGCTGAATGCAGCTGTTGTTCCTCTTCCAATCTTCTTCACTGGCCAGCATCACTTTGACTCCAAGCCATCCTTCCATCTCTGATATTGCATAAGCTCACTACCTGATGGCAGAGAGCTATTGGCTCACTCTCTTCTTACTACCTCAAGCAGATGGTTCAGTTAAATAGCCAATAAATTACAATTCCCTTATGAGAGAGAATCCAACTACAAATTGCTTACTTGTTCTTATAATAGCTTCTATTGCTGCCAACTAGTCTAAACAGTCATTTGGCCAAAACTTTGGGAATGATCAGCCGTATATAGACTATCTTCTATGGGATTCTAGCTATTGATTGTTTATCATTTGCTTGCCTTTTTTATTGTTTTTGTTTACTCATCTCCTTTTGGGTCATCATAATATCTAAAGGGCTCATCTAATTTGAAACTTTGTGGTGTCTTGCAAATACTCAAATCCACATCATAGCTCTTCCATCGGCTAAGTAAGTAACCAGGTATCTCCAATTCTGCTGTTGCGATGGGAGATACATTGGCTAACTAAGTCACAGACTTGTTTTAATAAGCAAATAAGAGAATCAAAATTATTAGCAAGCTCTGTAAATGCAAACTCACATTGAGGCTATAATTCAGAAGTGTGTTTGTACACCGATCTGAGAGGTCCTAGCTTTCAATCTAACAAATGAGAAAATAGGAAATTCCTCACATGAAACACAATATAGTTGAGTAACTGACTCATTTATTATAAATAAAGATCAAGTTTTTATATCAATGTTATTAGTGATAGGTCCTTCATTTTAATGGTTAAAAGAAGCTTTTCCAGCCAGAACAAATGATTGGTAAAGATTCTAAGGATATTGTCAAATTTAAAGTGAACAGAGTAGTCATGTGTTAAACTCCAGCCTCTTGGGAAATTGCACACTCCTAAGAAGCTCTGGCAGCATACTGGTTGTGAGTTGGGCTAAGATTCTGAAGGTCAGCAGTTCAAATCCACCAGAGGGGCTATCAATGAAAGCTCACTTGCACTTTGGAGTCCTGATGTGGTGCTATGGGCTAATGTGTCAGACTGCAAAGTCATTTGAACGGCAAGGTTTGTGGTTCAAGCTCACCAGCTACTCCTTGGAAAGCCTATATAGGGTAGTTATGGGTCTGAATCGACTTGATGGCACTTAACAACAACAACTCCCCAGTGGATTTGTGGAGAATTTCATAGTGTCACAGGTCTGCTGTAGCAATTGAAGCATGGGAGGTTCAAGTTAGAAAAGATTGTTCATGGTGTGGCATTGTAGAATCAGCTCTGGACTGTGAAGCACAAGATCAGCAGTTCCAACCCACCAGCTGCTCCTTGGAAACCCTACACAAGGTCACTATGGGTCAGAATCAACATGGTGGCACATAACAACAATCACATTCATAAGTTGCTTAAAGGGACTGTACAGAGCTAATCACTTGTCCCTTCACTACAAATGGACAATTAGTGCCACATGTACCTTGACTTAGACTGTTGTGTGATTTTCAGTTTACATTGCTCCTTCCTCTCCACCACTCAGATTCCTAACCAGACTATGCTAATCTTTCCAGAGAATAGAAGGTGATTCCTCACCTCAGTCTAAATCCATGTGCTTAGTCATTTTCTGCACCAAGGCAGATCTCTTCTGACATTTCGAATTTCAGTTCCTTTTAGAGTAATGCCAATTCTCCTCTGACAAGGGTGGCTTTGCCTTTTGGCCCCACCAGATAAATAGCCCATTAGGAATGCAGTTTCCATGGTCAGCATCAGTAACTGAACTAAATAAGTGAAGTAGGATGAATTAAGCTCAGGTCTCCTTCTTTCCAGACCCTCTCTAGAAGTTCAAATAAAATTCCAGGGTCTTCTCTCACTCAAGGTCACTTGTCACTATGCAATACCGTTGTCTTCTCGTGAACATGGAATGGGATTTAATAAGTATTTCTGATCATGGAAATTGGTAACTATTCCTGTTTATAGCTTCTCAAGCAACGTTACAAACTAATAGGGCACATCATTTTCTCATTGGCCTTAAGACTGTGTGAATGCAGATGTCCGGAAGACACAGTTTGAGTGGAGTCCATATTAGAAGCATCTTGTGTTACCTTGCTGCATGAATAACAGTATACTCTTTCCTTATCTCAGTGACAATAAACCTCTGATTTCTTAAAATCAGAAAGGTATTCTTGAAAGTTTCAGAAAAGCTTGACCCTCATCATATGTAAGCGTTTCTACATCTGCATTTGTTTTTAGTCAGTGTGAGCAGGAATTCAGAGAAGTGCACAGCATGCTTGCTTGCCTTTTGAATAATGGAGGAATGGTTAACTTTCTTGGAGCAACTTTAGCCAGTAGACAGTTCTGCTTCAAAATGTGCAAAAAAAGCCCAGTTTTATGAACACTTTGCTCATTTTGCTTCTCTGCCACTTTCTCTAGGAATGTCCCAGTGGTGTCGTTAATGAAGAAACCTTCAAAGAGATTTATTCTCAGTTCTTCCCACAGGGAGGTAAGTACAGACATAGACTTGTTAACATGGTCTCTGAGTCAGAATTGTACTCGTGATCCTGAGGTCGGTTTCATCTCTCATAGCATGACTCAATATTTTTCAGCTTTATGTAAAAGAATTAATGCATAGCATACAAGTGCATATGATTTTTCACTGTATCATAAAAGTGAGTTCCTTATACAAATTATCACATACCCGGAGAGTTCACTCTTCAGTTTAATATAGCCAGCAGTATTTAACGTGTGCCTGCTACTTTGGCTGTTAAACCCTGAACACTGGCTGAATTGGATGGATTGGTGCTTGATAAGCTAAAAAGTTCTTTCACAAGCATTGTAGGCCTCATTTGATTAGCTCAAGTAGGGCAAATATAATTATCCTCCTTGAACAGATGTGAAATCTGGGGCTTAGGGAAGTTACATGGCTTGCCCAGGGCTCCACATCTACTGAGTAGTAGATCTAGGCTAGAACCCAGATTTTTTTATAGCTTCACCCAATGCATATTTTCTGCTGGTCTTTGCCCTTTTGTTACTTGGTATGGTTTTGTAGCATAAGCACTGTGGCCCTCAAAGTCATTTGAATTGCAAAGTCAGTTGTTCAATTTCACTGGCTGCTCCTCTGAAACCCTAAACAGGGTCGCTATGTGTCAGAATCGACTCAAGTGTATTTAAAAAAAAATAACAACAACAACTTTATTATGTGCCCCTAATCTGAAAAAAATGGAGCTATGGTAGCGTAGTGGTTACGAATCGGGCTGCGAACCTTAAGGTCAGCGGTTCGAAACTACTAGCCGCTCCGCGGGAGAAAGATGAGGCTTTCTACTCCCGTAAGGATTTACACCCTCGGAAACCCTGTACAGGGTCGCTATGGGTCGGAACCGACTCGACGGCACTTAACAACAACAACAATCTGAAAAAGGAGTCTGTGGGTTAACGCGCCAGACTGCAAAGCCATTTGAACTGCAAGGTTAGCCGTTCAAGCTCACCAGCTGCTCCTCGGAAACCCTACACAGGGTCGCTATGGGTCGTAATCGGCTCAATGGCACTTAACAACAACAACAAAAATCTGAAAAAAAAGGGGTGTCACTCTAGAGATTATCTTGATTGGAAGAAAACCATAAGATATCATAATGACAGTGTTTGTTTTTGTAGTTGTTTAGTGCTGTTGAGTTGGTTCCAAATCATCATGACCCTGTATAGGGTTTCCAAGGAGCAGCTGATGGCTTTGAGCTACCAACCTTGTGGTTAGCAGTCCAGTGCTTATCCTACAGGGCTACACCAGGAGCCTGTGTTTTAAGTAGCCCCTATTTATGAGGTGTCTAATATGGGTCTTACTGTGGCATGCATTAGCTGTTACCATACAACAACCGTAGCTAAGACCTTCCCCCTCCACTTTTAAAATAAATGTGATAGCTAAAGCACAGAGATATTTATCCATTTCCAGGACCTGTACTCTCTCCACTGCCTTATTACCAGAGTTGTCACTGATTAGCATGATGTCTTCTAGCTTTAAATGAAAAGAGTAACTTTCTATCGAAGGGGATGTAAGCAAAGCCTCAGAGTGTAAGACGTGAGGTAAGCATGTGCAGAAAACTGCTCGTGTGTCTGGGGCAGGACATTTAAGATAAAAAGCGAACAGTCCTAGGGAGTCACGTATGGCATGTTGAAGAACATAGACTTTATTCTTGAGATGATGCAATGTCACAGATGAGTTTAAGTGGCACTTCCATGGCTAAACTGGATGCAGAAGTCAAAATAACGATGTCTTTAACAAGAGCACTCATAATGCAAATGAGAAAAAGTAGCAAACCTATTTTGATGGTAAAAATGGCAGAATTGAGTAACAGACTGACTTTATTTGTAGAGGAGTGAGATGGAAAGAGAAGGGTGTGCTAACTTTGAGGATTCTGTTGTGGATACCAGGTGACCAATTTTTCCATCGATTTGGATGGAACATGGTTGACAATATGGAATCCTCAGGGCCCAGTGGTTATTTGCTTGGCTGTTGGTATTAGATGCCATCGAGTCATTTAAGCATAGAATCACAGTAATTCTATACTTAACAAAATGAAGCACTACCCAGTCCTTTGCCAGCCTCACAATGGTTATTCTTGAGCCCATTGCTGCTACTACTGTGCCAACCCATCTTGTTACAAATTTCCTGTTTAACCCTCCACTTGACCAAGCATATTGTCTTTCTCCAGGGTTTGGTCAATCCTGATAATATGCTCAAAGTATGAGAGATGAAGTCTTACCATACTGACTTCTTCTAAGGAATATTCTGGCTGTACTTCTTCCAATCCAGTTCTTTTGTCAGTCCATGGTACTTTCAATATTTTTCTCCAACAACATAACTCAAATTCATCAATTCTTCTACAGTTTTCCTTAAGTTAGTGTCTAACTTTCACATGTATATGAGGCGATTGGAAATTCCATGGCTTGGATCCTCCAACTGATTATGTTTGCTCTTGAACACTTGAACGAGGTCTTGTGCAACACATTTGCCTAGTGTTTGATTTCTTGACTGCTGCTTCCATAAGTGTTGATTATGCTTCCAAACAAAATGAAGTATTTGACAACTTCAATCTTGTCTCCAGTCTGGTAGTGTAGTGGTTACGAATCAAGCTGCTAACCTCAAGGTCAGCAATTC